AGGCAACCATCCCTTGTTCTTTTTTATCTATTTGTTTAGTTGTCCACCCAGAGAATGGTTATTGTCAGGGCATCAAGATGATGTTATTACCACCCAAAGCAAGCAGGCATATAAGAAGAGTATAAAAAAAAAAAAAAAATAGAAATGATGATAACAATTCAAGAAGGAGCTAAAAAGAATGAGGAGTAGAAATTTGCTGGGTGTGGCAGGTGGAGGGTAGTATTCTGCGGAGATCTCCTTGTTAGTTTTTGATATTATTTTATTACACTTATTGATTATATCCCTCAATTAATGCGCATTCGTTTAATCCATTTTTGATTAGTGCACTAAAATTTTTTATACCAAAATTCGATTAGTACATTCATGATACTTGATTAGTGTGATAAAACCTTCTTCAGTTTAACCATAGTAATTGAAAATTGATTTTTTTTTAGTTACCAATTAATTAAAAATTTTCTAAAATTTAAAAATGGGCAACTATTTTGTTTGTCAAATATTACATTTGAAAAGTAATTTCAGTAGTATTTTTAAAAAATGGACAGTTATAAATAGATCCCTTTTATAATAAAGGGTGTTTCATTAAGAGGGATCAAAGTCAGCAGTAAATAAATCAGTGTTATTGGTGAAAATTTATTTATTTCTCTATTGGATCATGTTATTTAAGTCATAGCAATTATGTGTAAAAAAAAAAAAAAAAAAATCACCCAAATGTCTGTCAAATCTGAAAGAAAAAGAAAAAAAATCATTAGATGCTTAAACTTAATTCACATTTAAAATCAGTCCAAATTAGTGGAATACTCTTCATAAGCTGATAATAAAAATACATATTTGAATATTTGTCTCTATGAAAAATTTTTCGAATATTTTGATTTTTTTTTTTTTTTTCATTTTGAAGGTTTTAAAAGGAAATTTCTGATTTTTTTTTTATTAAATAAAAAAAAAAAAGACAATTTTTATGGAAATTTACATTTATTAAAAAATATCAAATATATGTATGCATTTACTAAAATTCTAAATAAAATTTTCAGATACTAATGATTATGTTTTGAAAATTTCCAAAAATACATATAACAGGGTTCTTTTTAAAAAAATTAAATTAAAACTATTATCCTGGGCATCAGTCACCAGATTTAAACCCTTTTGAAAATATATGGAATTTAATGAAAAGAAAATGGAAGACAAAAATCTTTAAAAAAAAAATATTGAATTAAAAGAAGAAATTATAGATATTTGGAATAACATCGATAAAAAATTTAATTTCTAAGCTAATTAAACAATTTTTATGAAGAACAGAACAATACCATACAAATCACTCTAAATAAGTTTTTCATAAAAAATCTGATGAATAAACATTGATTCATAGCATTTTTATTGTATCTTCTTATATGTACCTATATTTTAATTAAAAAGTATGCAGATTAGAAATTGTGAATGAGACTAACATTTGAGGTACAAATTACACCATTTCCTATAATTTATTATATTCGATTAATGCATCATTTCCTATAATTTATTATATTCGATTAATGCATCATTTCCTATAATTATATTCAATTAATGCATATCTTTTAATGCATACATTAACTGCACTAATCAAGAGATTACTGTATAGAATGTTGCCTTTGCTTTTTTTTTTTCCTCAAGAGGAGGTACCATTGAATACTAAAATGGTTCAAGATTTTCCTTGACAACAATATCTTGTTAGGTTAAATTAGTGAGAAGGATGTAGAAAAGTTCTTAAGCCAACCAAGTATGGATTAAAAAAAAAAAAATTGTTTAATCAGTTGGTCTTTTCAACAGCTCCTTGTTTGAGGAAAAAAAAAAGGTCAATTTATTTGTTATTATTTGTAAAACTTACATACACTTGGTGTGTCCTTACCCCTCACCCTTCATGTTTATTTCTCCTTCCCCCACCATTTCTTTCAGCTTCACTATTGATTATCTCTCATTAGCAAACATGTCTACCCCCAGACTATCACTCCCACTTTGTTTGTTGAGAAATGCTTATGTCAAAAGACTTTCATTGAAATTGGTCAAAGGTGATGAGAGATCACCCAATCAGATTCCCCTGAGTAAGATATTGTAGTCAAGGTTTGTTGTTTGTTTGTTTTTGTTTTTTTTTGTTTTTTTTATGTTTTTTTTTTCTTTTTTAAGGGGTGGAGTTGTTTGTTGGGTGTGGTTAGGTGGAGATAGGGGTTATATCATTTGTATTGATTTGTAATTCTGTATGCAGTGTCTCATTGTCAGGGCTGGTCACTAATTGTTTAGTAATGGTTGGGGACCTTGGAGCACAGAGCTCAGCTGTGAATGTTTATTGCATGATGGGGAATGGGAGAGAAAAAAAAAAAAAAGAAATCCCTAACAATGTTAGATTAGAACTACAATATTTAGTAATGGGTTCGTGGGGGGAGGGGGGTGACTAAAAGATGGACGTTATGGGAATGAACACAACTGCCTGATTTATGCTTTTTGCTACTCTGATGATCGTTGCATATTTTTATTGTTTCTGATACTCTTTTATTTATTTTTTTTTTCTTTTTTGCTGTGTTTTGTATTTCTATCCCACCCCCTCGTAGATACTAATTCAGGTACCTGTTGTTTGACTGCCAGCAAGATGATCAAATTTCAAATCTAAATTGTTTGTTTACTTAAAATAGTATATTTAGAAGAAAATATATTGTTTAAATACAGCGTCATAAAAAGGACTTCAAAGGGTTCAGCTTATAATCTTTTCCTATTACTCAGGGGTTGTTGCCACACAGAAGGCCTCATGACACAAACATTCATGTCAATTTCACTTGATTTTTGTCTACATGTGGTTTGTATGTGTGCATATATTTTTTAATTCAATGGCAGATTTAAAAATGAAGCAGTAAAAAAAAAATTTTTACATTTTAAAAAAAATGGTTTCATTAATTGCCAAATAATTTCAGAAAGGTTTAATAAAACCTTATAATTATTTGTTTTTTTTTTTTTTCTCCATTTTAGGTTTATTGTTCAGCCCAGGGTAGAGATTGTCCAGAATGAGTAGGAGGAATAATGTATTATTCCAATGTCTTATTTCAAACTCTGTCAAATTGTGTGTGTGTGTGTGTATATATATATATATATAAGACAATAGGAACACTGTATTATTAGCCAACGCATTTCATCCAATGTGGAATTTTTCAAGGCAAAACAAAATTAATTTATTAAAACAAAGTAACTATTAACAACAAACAAAATGTCCTTAGCAACTAGAAGAATTTAGAAAACGCTATTGTATTCATATTGTCAACTGAAAATTACATCAGTATGAATAGAATAGCATTTTCTAAATTCTTCTAGTTGCTAAGAACATTTTGTTTATTATTAATAGTTACTTTGTTTTTAATAAATTCATTTCATTTTTGCCTTGAAAAAGTTTACTTTTACCTTTTATACATATTGTCTTTATCTACAGGTTAACTATGAGAAATTTTTCACACACACATATATAAAATGCGTGTGTGTATGCACACGTATATGCTTGTAAATGGCACAAGCACATGTAAATCACTCATGCATGATGCATACATGTGCATATGCAAAGTCACTGACAGAATTAGTTCTTATTTTAAAATATAGATTTACTACGTCAAATTTAGTTTGGCACAAGGCCATAAGGATAGTGACCAGTGAAAATCAAACCTATTGTTTAATGATTGATTGATTCATTCATTCATTTTCTATGGCTTATCAACACTTTGCAGGTTATTTAAAGCCAGAAAATATTTTTAGATTGTATTTAAACCCAATTGAAATAGGAACTCTCTCCAATTAACAATTCTGGGCTATTATACATTACACCACCCGCACATCTAAGCTCACAGCACCTGGTATTCTCAAGTGGTCACCTATCTAGGTACTGGTCAGGCTCGATGTTGCTTAAATTCATTGATCCTACAGGGACCTGTGTTTCAGCGTGGTATGTTGAATTAAGTGCATTGACAAGGAATGGCATTATGTAGAAAATAATTGTTGTGCATAATAAATTATCTTTTATTATTAGGCAATGGACTTATACATATGAACTATGAATATATAATTTAAGAAAGAATGCACATGGGTATCTCAACTATAATCACTGACCAAAGGCCATGAGGAGGTGCTGAAAACCTCTCTACCTAACAAGTGCTTAAAAAAAATTAAAACAAACAAAAAAAAAAAATAAATAAAAACTGGTATTTGGTCAGATTTCGGGACATGGAGCTGTCTGAGAACTTTTTCAGAGCCCCCCATAAAATTATATTTAACCATCTTTATCATTACTACTCCTCCTCCCCACTATTCATGAAGTAAAATATTCTTGACAATGACCTATTTAGATGAAATTGTATAGAAAAAAAAACAATTAAATATTGACTTCATTATTGTTAGTATTTAAATATATATATATATATATATATATATATATATATATATATATATATATATATGTAAATGTCATTTATTTTTTTATTTTCTTCTGAAATCATTTTGCCTTTGGTCATTGAACCACTTCCCAATAGCCTCTTCTCCTTTTCACTTCCTCTTTTTCTCTCACCCCCTCTACTTCAGCCTTCTCCTCTCCCCCCACCCATTTCCCCATTATCACCCAACCCATTTTTTTTTCTCACTGTGTTCTTTTTGTTCACTATATAATACGTCTGTAGATAATTCCTTGCAAATAAAAAGACTGTTGTTGCTGCACTGTCTTTTGTCAGGATTTCTCAAACAAATGTAAATCTAGGCCTGCAAAGATCATCGTGCAGTTGAAAGAGTACATTAACTCTCTCCCCCCACCCCCCTTTCCACAACTCACAACCTCCTCTCATCGGACAAATGATGTTGGAGTCAGAACATCTAATAAACTAATTTTCTTTTTTTTAACTCTTTATGACTCTATAAAAATAAAAGCATTAAGTTCTGAAACGATTACATCAAAAAGATCTTCAGACACGATTTGAGGTATATTCATTTTCAGACATGATAGTCTTAAAATGCACATATCCCCCGTCTCTCTCTCCCTCTCTGTGTATATATATATATATATATATATATATATATATACACACACAAGTTTGGTTAAAGACCACAAAAAGCTCTTTGTTAAATGTTTTTGTGTTTTTTCGAAAATATATATATAACAATATATAATTTTTTTTTTATATATTTCAAGAACAGTTTTGAAGGAAAGACATATGACAAAGTGGAAAAAGTTTTTGAATGATGCATTTTGTACCTTAGAACTTCATCGGACTAGGTTTGTTGGTGTGACTAGGCATGTGCACAAACACACAGGGAATTATGAATTTAGAAAAAAATTATTTGTTGATTTTTTTTTTTTTTTTTTTTCCATCACTTGTGTTATTAAATATCCGACATTATGGTAACTGATTATCTGCCTAGAATGGTGAAATGTAAGAACCTGGATGCAATATTATTGTGGATGAACTATCGATTAAAGCACTTTCTAGACATTTTCATCTTAGTGAATTATTTTCTCTTTTAATTAGTGTAGCATTTTTTATGTCAAAATTGTGGTCAGTCTTGTGTTTAATGTGTTGTCTTTTTTAAAATGTCTCTTTTGTATTCATACAGTCTTTTATTTTAAATTCTTGAAGTTTCTTAAATATATTCTTTCTAGCATATATGTTATTGCATACCTATGGTTGATAATGGGTATGTCCCCATTCCCATGAATACAGTAATGAATACTCTGTGTTGGTCTGTGGTCTGCAATTAGATTCATTGTAGAATTCACTTGAGTCACTTCTAGCAGTTGGCTACTTCTTCTATGCACCGCTAGCAAATCTTATATGTGTTGTTCTTGTCCTAAGTATTATTGTTCATTACCAACTTTTGTGTGATTATTCAGTAACCTTCCTTAGGTTACAACAATATATATATATATATATATATATATATATATATATATATATATATATATCACTTTAAATGTTATTTTAAGTGGATACTCATATTTGAGTAGACACTTCGTCTATTTATTAAACAGCATATTTATTTTCGTCTATTGGCCTGAATGTACAAGAAATCTTATTAAAGAAAAATATGTGCTCTTCAGTAGGATTGAAACCTGCTGCTCTTTGGCTAGAGTGAAACTGTTGTTATATCTGACATGCCTTAATTGACTTAAACATAAAGATATACCACTCAATCAAGGCCTGAACAGACAGTGTCTTTAAGTGAAATCCTTCACGTCATAGATTCCTCAAAATTATATTTGCTCAGTTTTGTATCTAAATGTAAACAAAGTAATTTTCAAAGTAATAGATTTTTTAATATATATATATATATATAAAACACAAACACAATAATGTTAACCCTGTACAAGGCCCAAGAGTCACTCGATGTAGAGGCATAGTTTATGGGAATATGTATGGAAGATGACGATTGATCCTAGACTTGAATAAAATTGTAGTGATCATGGGAACATCCACTTTGGAGTCAGTTCTACAAAGCAGCACTTCATGGAGAGAAGCTGTTTGAGTGGAACTTAGATATCAACAATGGAATACAAATGGAATAAGTGATTCACTACAAGGTGTGTGGCATGGCAGGTTTTAGCCGTGAAAGTTAGAACTAATAGGACTAATTTATATTCAAAAAAATTTTCTTTGCCATTTTGAGTAAACTTGTACCTGTACCGAATGTACTCTAAATAATACCTACAATTCTTTTTGATGAACTTTAGACCATCAAAATTGTCAAGAACTTTTGTTGGTTTTTAACCAAATTTATATAATGTAAAAATTGTTGTCTAATTGTATATGTGCGGGTACCCAGGTATTAGTGAGATATATATATATATATATATATATATATATATATATATATATATATATATATATAATGATTATAGTAGCTCATAAGTCCAAGGAATAAATATAATTTGTAGATAAAAAAAACAAGACAAATAACAAACTGGCACACAAACATGTACATCTATTCATTTTTTAAAATTTTTTTTTTAAACATTTCACCCCAAGCAATGCGGGAAGCCACTAGCACGCAAAGGGTTACAGAGAGTTGGAGTGAGAGCAAATAGGAATGATAGAAGAAAGGATGAAGAGAAGGATAGGGGATAGATCAGGTCATCTGGAGATGTCGATTGACATTACATTTGAATAGTTGAAGATTATAGCTATCAGGGAAGCAAGAAATGGGAATGGAGTTCTACAGGCGAGAAGTGCGAGACAGTCTATTGGAGTAGAAGAGACGGCTAGTTAACAGTAAGAGGGTTAGAGCAAGATGCCAGCCTAGTTGAACACTTAAATTTATGAAGTCTGGGAACCAGTGAAAGCAGCTCATCGGAGCAGTTACCATGAAAGTATTTATAATATAAATGGTATGATGTATAGAAAATATGTAATGACTGATAAAAATATAACTATTTAACTATTAGGTAAGAAGAGGTATTTTAAAAAAAAAAAAAAAAAATGATCAAAACCTACAAATTAGTATAATTATATATATATATATATATATATATATATATATATATATATTTATTAAAGACATTTTTATGTTTAACGTTTTTTATAGATACAAGTATTTAAGTAAATGCTCTGTTTATAATAAATAGTATTAAATAACATTTACCGGCCTGAATGTCCGAGAAATTTTTCATAGAAAATATTCGTTCTTTGACAGGATTCGAACCTGCATCCTATACGGAACCATCATTTACGCTGACATGCCTTACCGAACAGCCACAAAGAAGCGTTCGGTAGACAAGGTCGAATTTACTGCTTGTCTAATATACTTATTCATGAATTTTGTTTGATCAGGAACACAGATCCTTAAGTGTCATGTGAATTCATAAATGATCTTGATTCTCTGTAATTTGAATCTTGCAGTTGACTTATTCTTGTTAACTATAAGGTTAGCTGTTTTAAACTTTTTATAGTAGATAATTTAATTTTCTTGTTCTGTTTGACTAGGGTTTATTTCTTTATTTTTCTAAGGAAAACTTCATCCTGCTTATGGTTAACATACATTTGATTTTTATAGAAAATGTTATTGTTTTTATCTGTGTGTTCCAAGTTGCTATTGGTTACCTTAGAGAGAAATAGTCTAATTTGGTGATCTATAAGGTAGTTCAAAAAACCATTATTAACTCACATCTGTTCATATTGAGCTCTTTAAAGTAAAGTAAACAAAAGAATGAATTCTTGTGCACTCACTGAGAAAATTTTTCATAACACCTGTTTTATATCTAAGTGAACATTCAGGTGGCAAGAATTTCTACTTGTAGGTATTTTGCATAATGAGGTAGTGAATGTGTTATAAATAAATTCTACAAGAACATCTAAGAATGGGAGTTTCTTTTTTGACTAAGTTTACATATTTTATGTACAAAAAAAGCTTAATCACAGTAACTTGTCAGTTTTTAATGCAACCTGTGTGTGTGTGTGTATATATATATATATATATATATATATATATAATCCACATACAGGTGTGTTTCACTGTATCACAGCACATCAGTGTGGCTAGACATCCGATTGCTTCAAGCCGGACTTGAAACCCAACTGATTTGGCATCAGTTGGAGTTTCTACTCCTGAGCTATCAGTGCACAGCAGAGGGAAAGGGAGATTCTAGTGTATTATTTTTACGAATGTAAACAAATGCCAGACAGCCATAGTGCTCGATTCATTTAATGAAGAGTGTTGCATTAGCGGAGATGGCAGCGGTTTAGAATTACCCTCTCTCTCTCTCTCTCTCAACAGTACTCAACCGAAATTATCGAGATCATAATAATGTCATCCACATACAGGCCTGTTTCATTGTATCACAGCTTATCAGCGTAGCAAGACATCTGATTTTATATGTATGTATGTGTGTATATATATATATATATATATATATATATATATATATATATATAAAATCTTGGTATGAATCCATCTCTTCTTTCCCAGCTATGAGTAAATAGGACAGGCCAAGTCCTATAGCCTTGGATGGCAATCACTCTACTGAGCTGTTTGACCCTCATATGTCGAAAAATGGTGGGAGAGTCCTGTGTGTGTGTGTGTGTGTATATATATATATATATATATATATATATATAATCCTATCATATTCTTCCTTTATTTTTTTTCATTTGTTTTTTTGGGTTTATCTAGTAAATATTTAATCTCTTCTTAATTACATGAAAAAAAAAACAAATCCCAATAGTTTTATTCTTGAAATAAAGGAATATGTGAGTCTTTGTTTGTGTGTGTGTTTTTTGTTGTTTTCCTTTCTTCTTCAAGCTTTGATCACTGAAACTGTTTATATATACACATTATCTGTAATTTATTTTAAATTCATATCTCTTTTTGCCTATGTCAGTGTTGATTGGAAGTTACTTTATACTGCAAAAAACAAATCTTAAAGAATACGTTTTTTAAATATCTATGAGAAGAAAATGTTATAATGAATTTCTTTTCTTTTTCTCTTCAGGCATGGATTTGGTGATTGTCGAAAGCCACTGCATGAAACAGCTGTTCTTTTGGAAGAGATCGTTCATTCTCAAATGGTTTCCCTGGTAAAATATCTTTGTCTATTTTCTCTCATTATAACTTTCCTGACAATTACCTCAGAGTCAGTTTTTCCCTCCATCTTTTAATATCACTTGTTCTTGCATTGGTTTTCATTACTATATACAAATGTAGGTACCTTCAAAAAAGAGCACTACCGAGGGTTTAAAATGTATTTTAAAAATTAAAAATCTTTATTGAAGCTTCTATATTAGTTTTAATTCCAGGCTAATAGATTAAATTTAATATTTCCAATAAACAAAATACTTTGCTTTTTTTAAAAACTAATTTAAATTGATTGGAATGTTTTTTTCTTTTTAAATTGCTAAAATCAGCCATATTGACAAATCCGTCAGCACAGCATAATTCTCTTTGACATTTGTCTATATTTATGAGACGAGGTATTGTAGCTACACTATTTATGATGTTTGAACAGTTGTCCTCATCTTTATTCACAACATTTCGACCATTGTACACTATGACTTTCTTCGGGTGTTATTTGTTGGAATTTTGAACTGAACCCTTTTAGTCCACAGGGTTAGATTGTTCTAATTTTACGTGCCATGCCTTAGGATATCTCAGTTAATTCCCCTTGATAACTCTCCAAGTTTTTGTTCTCTTCGCTCTGGCCAGTGATTGAACTCACAACTCTTTGAGTCAAGTCACTTTTGGATCAGTCAACCAACGCTTTTATTCACTGGAAGGAGGCCGGAGTGTGCAACAACCAAAATGTTGTGAATGTTGCAATAAAGATGAAGACACGAGTTCGAACAATGTAATTAGTGTAAATAATTCTCTTTAGTAAAAAATCTTTCAAAAATAAAATATACTTTCCTAAAACTTTATTTAAGGAAAATTAACTGATATAAAGTTTAATTAATCTGAATTAAAACAAATATTACTTTTAGTTTAAAATATCACAGAAAAGCATTTTTTGAATACAGGTAGGTGTTTTTATGAGGTGTTGATTTATCGATATCTTAATGTTTCACATTTTTAAGTAAAGGGCACATAACTGTAAATACAGCTTGTATGCCAATTTTGTATAATTTTTTAACTACTCAGTAATCTTAACTTAGAATCTTTTCCTAAAGTTTTATCTAATATTTTATTGAATTTTATACAAAGGGGCATCACATGTACTGCAGCTGCAGTAGAACTGGTGTGTCTTGGGCAAAATAGCCTGATGGATCCCAACCCTCTCCAGGCTGGTTTGAATTCAGAGTTTTCCTTCTCCTAGGCTTGGCTACCAACCAAGGCTATAGAACTCAGTCTGTCCTACTATTTACCTATAGCTTAGAAAAGATGGATTCATATCTTTCCCAAGGGAATTATTTGAACTTGGCTCTCTGATTTGGTAGTTTAAATTCTCCACAGACTTGTGCTTATAACTAATATAAACATTAAACTCTAAAAACATTAATTTCTCCAAATTTCATAAAATTAAATAATTTGGGCATGGTGGGTAACAGATATAAAAAAAAAAATTTATAACTTGTCTGTTTAATTACTCAATTGAGCTGCAATCCATTACTGCACTCTGCCTTCATTTATGATTAGTAAATATAATTTTTAACTTAATACAACCTAACCACTACAAGTTAATATGGAATTATAAAAGATTTGAAACTTGATAAATTATCATTAAAATTTAAAAAATAAAAAAAATTCTTGTAAAAATTAAGTATTCCTCAAAAAAAATTTTTTTTCTTCACACAATAGTGTCCATAATATAGCTTATTCATAAAAGAAATTAAAACCTTTTTCTAATTAAATACTGTGTTAGTTCTATTGCATTTTTATTTTACAATTCAGAGCAGATTTTCTGTAAACTGGGATCCTATTTGACAAAAAAAAATTTGATTGTTTATATTCTTGTAACTAATATAAACATTAAGCACTAAAAAATTAATTCCACAAAATTTCATAAAATTAAATAATTATTTTGGGGGTTGGGGTGGGGTTAACAGATATAAAAAAAAAATATTTTTACTAAAATTTTCTAAAAAGAAAACATTTCAAAAATAATTTAATTGATTTGTGAATAAATCCTGAAAGTTTCATTAGCTGATTTTTGTAAGAATTTCCACATTTATGTGTTTTTTACTGCAAAAAGTTGCTCAAATTTCCCATACTAATTTATGGTCACATGTTGATGCAAGAAAAACAAAATTTTTAACCAGAATTTAGGAGGTTCTAAAAAGGATTAAAAACTATGATTTTAACAAAACATATCCTTTCTTCATAACAAAGATTTTGATGATAAAACTTTGTTTTAAGTTTGGGGCATTTTTTATCATGGATGCTCATTTTTTAGTGAATCTTTGGAGGTATCGCTATAAGAGTGTAGGTGTGTGGATGCCTGCAATTCTCAAAGACACTTAAGTGTTTCCAAAGTAAACTGATATTTGATGTGTATTATGCAGGGTCCTTATATTTTTTTAATTTATTTCTAAATTTTGACATTTTAACCAAAAAATATATAATAATTTTAAATTGAATTTTATATTTAAAACTGTAAGCATTTTTTTCTTTGCTTTACTCACAATTAATTGATGTAGATGCAACTTTTTTATAAAAATTCATAGCACAATATTTCTGAATCCATTAACATAAACCACCCCAATTTTAGGAGGGTTAGCATGAATGGTATAGCCTATGAAACGTATGATTCATAAGTGGTTTTATTTTAATTTCTCTAATTAATACCGGATTTGACAATAAGGGGTTAATGAAACCTCCTGCAAAAATAAGATTTGAAAAGCACTCAAATTTATACTTTTATGAGTCCAAACCTCTACAGAATTTTTTTTTGTAGTATTGAAGATTGAAAATAGCTTTCAGACTGTCCTTTTGTCTCTTCTTTGACATTTCTTCCCTTCACTCTCCACTGCAATCCTTTGATTTGTTCTACAATCCATGAAAATGTTTAATTAGAAAAAAATTAGGTTTTTATAATCTCAAATATTTGCCAAAATGTTAGAATTAAATTCTTGATATAAAAGTCTGACTTGGCAAATATTCCTTTCTTACAGAAAGAAATAGAAAAAAAGTACTGTTTATGAGTGAACTTCAACTTGATTTAAAATCAAGGTTATCAATTTCCATGAATTCCTAAACAAATTGCAATGAGTCGGTGTAATTTTTTTTTATTTAGCATTAAAAATCCTTAGTAGATAAGATAATTCAGAATATATCTCTTCTGCAACTTTCATTCATTTTTGTTACAAATAAAATTAGTTCCAAGTTTAAATTAATTCTGCACCCCCTATTTATGAGCAACTTTGTACTGGTCATTTGCTGCTCTTTGCTCTGTTATGCAGGCTGTTCTGAAATAGTGAAGTTTGCTTAAAATGGCCAACAATAAGAGTAATGGTAAAATTTTCTGTTAAATCTACAGCATTCAGTAAATTGCTAAATTCCAGAGATTCTATGAACTTAATTAATTTTAAAGGACATTTTCTCATAAAAAAAAAAAAAAAAGGGACCGATTAAATGATAATTTCCTTACAGCAAATATTTGGCATTCACCAACTAAACAGTTACGGTTATGGTCATTTGAAATTTATAAAATTAGGCCTCTCACAGCAATATCACATTGAAACACCAGTTTACATCTGATCACCAAAGTTAAGCAACGTTGAGTTTGATCAGTACCAATATGGGTGACCACTTGGGAATACCAGGTGCTATAAGCTTGGATGTGCAGGTGGTATGATAGATAACAGCTCGGAATGAGAAATTGGAGAGCAAAGTTAGAATATCAGTCAAGTTTGTGAGATTCACTTACGTGTAAATTCCATTTGTAAAGTTATGAATCTATTTCTCCTCCCATGGGTTAAATAGCAGGACAGACTGGGTCCTATAGCTTTAGTAGGCAGCCATTACTTTCTGCGGTAGACTGGTGACCAATCGTGGGAATTCTTCTACCAAGTCAATCATGAATCGAAAAAGACATGCTCACCCAAGTGTGCATCATGCATGGCACCTAAACAAAGCATCCTGGGTATGACGATAAACTACATCCAGTAGCAAGGCCTCTGATTAAGAGGTTTTGAGGAGCATGGAACCACTTCTTAATTGCTGTTATTCCAAGGCCCACCTTGACCTGGGGTTGTAGCACCTGTTAGGGTCCTAGCTATGGGCAAATAGTGTTTTGAACCCAGTTTGGTGGTTCACTATAAACGTATAAAAATCGATTTTCATAGTAAAAATAACAATATATTTTTGAAAAAAAAACTATTACCAGCAATACATTTGACTCAACAAAAGCCCTCTTTACAAAAATATGTCGATGAAACCTGATCTACAAACTGATTTCTTACAAAGAATACATATTCTATTCATATGAATCTTACTTATTATAAAACGCAGATTGTGTGTGTGTGTCTGTAACGTTTATATATTGGATCGGATTTCCTACATTTTTCAACCGATTTCAACAAAACTTCACAGGACTACATAAAATTACATTGTGGTGGTTCTAACAGCGCCAAAAAAAAAAAAAAAATATAATTGTTTTTGCACAAAATCAATTTGAAAACATGATTAAGAGACATCGTGAAAATGGAAGGGGACAACTCACATCAGGTTGTTTGTTTGTGTGTGGGTTACTTTAAATATGGGATCGGATTTCCTATATTTTCAGCCGATAAAACAAAAACTTCACTTTTTTTTTTTTTTTTGGCAGGTAGTGTTTCTTATTCTCTTGCATTTTTTTTCTTTATTTTTAACATTCAGAATGCTTTTAAAATTCCATTTACAAGACAATTGTTTATAATAAAATTCTATTCAATCAGTAGACTCATAACGATTGAAAACAATGTTTTTGTTTGAGTTTGGGTTTGACCAATTGTAAAAAAAAAAAAAAAAAAAAAAAAATTAAGACATGCGTGTCCGTCAACCTTAAACAATAATCTTTGTCAATTTTATTTTTCATTCTTTATGATGGTGGATACTTGATCTATCTCTTACTGTTATATCCCCGGGCAACGCCGGGCTCTACTGCTAGTCTATTCTAAAAATCATGTTGGCATAAAATAACCCATAAACCCAGGCATGGCACCTCAACAAGGAAAGAAGAAAGACCTCTCAAGCCCACTGTTATTGCTCTTTCTAATATTGACAGGGGTGCCCTTCCAAACCTTTTCTTTAAGGTTGTTTGAAAATTTTGATTACATCATTATTTTCTTCTCTAATTACACATGCTATCCATTTTATTTGTTGCTGCTGGAATTCTTCAAGTGATATGATTTTGGTTCTTTGGTAAAGTTCTTTGTGATTGTGTAGTGCCAGTCTGTAAAATGTGATGAAGCCATTTTTAACCATTGATTTGAAAAAAAAAAAAACAGTTGTATCTATATTGTAGATAGTTTAGACATTTCTGAATGAGTTTGACAGCATGCATGACGTCCACATGAGTCTAGATTCAACAAGGCTTTTTAAGAACATGACTCAAGTTACTAGGTCAATATTTTGCTTTTGTAGCATCTTGTAGTCATTTTGGACAAAAGTAGCCCTAGTGCAAACTAAATCTGTTATGACTGCTCTGTCCACTGAAATATTTGAAATGTTCAGAAATTTGTAAAGTGTTCACATTGTTAATTTTTATGGTGGCTTCAGAATATGTACCATCTATTGTCAAGTGATAAAGATTCGTAGCTGCACAACCTCGTATATAAATATAATAAGGCTGACCAACTTTGTACTGGCCAATTGCTGCTCTTCACTCAGACTCTGTTGTTATACAGACATTTCTGAAATAGGGAAATTTACCTTGTATCAGAAAGAGGTTGGATTTCAGCATTTTTAACAAATTATTTTCAGAGTGCTAGACATTTGCCTGGATGAAATAGTTTTTCTCATACTTCTGTGGAACTCTCTTCCAGCTTCTTGTTTCCCTGCCACCTACAATCTTCAAAAATTTTAATCGACATTTTCTGTTTTCCTAAAGTCTGTTGTTTTATTGTCTTTCCTCCTCACTAATGTCTTCTCATTTTCTTTCACTCCCAGTAACCCATTGCATCCTAGTGGCCTTATTGCCTTGCTTGGGATGAAATGATTAAAAAAAAAAAAACAAAAAAAAAAAACTTAAAAGTTCCATTTGTGATAGACATAAACATTTAGCAGCCTTTTTATCATTTTTTTTTTTTTTTTTTAATTTTTTAAAAATATTTTTCTTTTTTTAAATATTTTTCTTTTGTCTTCTATTTTATTTATTAGTTGTATCAAGCATCTGAGGTTGCGACAAAGAGGAATGGACGCTTCATCAGTTTGGAAGATTTTTTATTCCTTCTCCGAAAAGACAAGGTCAGTGGCTAAGGATCTTTGGGCCTTAATTAAAAAAACAAAAAACACATGAAGATACAAATTAATGAATGATGAAAAAAAAAAAATTTACACATTTTTCAATATAATCTCCTTAATTCACTGATGAATATTGATTGTATAGATTAGGAGAATCAAACTCAAGAAAAGAAAAGGCTATTACATGTTGTGGGAGGGTCATCAACTCCAGAGGACCCTCACCTGGTAGAAGCATTTTTCTTGCATTATCACCTGGTTCACACACCTTTCCCATCTTTTGAACAGGAGTAGAGGTTTTATCCCTCATTTCTTGTTTAGGATTGGGTTTCCAGTTCCTTATCAGGAAGCTTTCTCATTTTCTTTTACTTTGAGTAACCCCTTGTGTCTTAGTGGCATTAGCACCTTGCTTGGGATGAAATGATTAAAAAAAACAAAACAAAATAAGGTTGCATCACTTTCATAGATGGTGGAAGGCAAAAGTTTTCAAGGGATTTCAGCTTCCCCCTAATATGAGTTGCCAAATATATTTCTTATAAAATTAGAAAGTTAACTATACAAGTTCATTTAACAAGTAGAGAGGCTACATTTTAATTCTCTTTTTCGTACAAAGGTAAGAATATTTGCTCTACATAAAATATTCTTGCAGGAATGTTTTTAGATTAACTATGATTAGATTGGCCAAAAAGTTCATTTGGTTTATTAAGAAAAATTACCTAAAAATTTAAAAATCTATTGTGACTAACTTTACTGAATATATTTTCCCATTTTCTTCCATCAATTTCCCATTTTGTTCCATGTTTTTCTTGTTTTCTCCATTTTGTTCCATCTTTTCCCCCCATTTTTCCCATTTTGTTCCATCTTTTAGGAAATTTCATAATTCCATCCAACCAAAAAATTCTTTCTCAGCAAAAGGTACCTTTTGCAGCCTTCTAGGGAACTAATTTCTTATTTCCTCTTTCAATTTTGCCAAATACAATGGCTGAATGAAAAATTCCCAGTCAAGCTGTAACAATTTTCAGAAATATGTCTAAGTTATCCTGATAGTTCAATGCACCATTTTTCATTTAAATAATTTCAGACAAATCCTTTTTGTTGATTAGTGCTTTGAACTGGTCTATTTGGGAACTGAACTTGTATAATCAATCATTTGGATCCTCCTGAAGGAACTCATAATAGAAAACTTCCTTCCAATCCTAATATGTACATAACATTCCCAGCCTTTGCTACTAATATTAATGCTTCATTCAACTTTTCCCATAATCCCATGTTTCACAGTTTTTTAAAGGTTCACTTTTCATTAGCTATCTGAGTTTAATTTAAATATTGATTATTTTTATTATCAAATCAAACCATATAATCATTATCAATGTGTATTTATACATTTCCTGTCCCATCTGTGGGAAAGGGAGGTAAATCAACTTAAGTTAGTAAATTTATGAGTGATTACTTCTCTTAGTCATTTTAATAATCCATACAAACAAAATATTTATCTATATTTAAACAAGATAAGTTCCTGAACAAAATGAATCATTTAATCAGTTCCTCTTAGATGGCAGTCTTATTTGTTCAAACCTTTCATGTGAGGCACTTGGATACCTTTGTCTATTAAGTGATCATCTTGAAATAGGCTTTATTGTTGCCATCTTTGTCATTCTGTTGCTCGTCTTTTTCTTCAAAGAAATATTTCCATTTCACTGTTATAATTAACACGTACAATTTTTCACATGAAAAGATATTGAGCAAAAAGCGATTTATATGCTACCAGGAGTAATCAATGAATCAGAGATATCATTGAACGTCTAAAAATATAAAAGGAAATGGATTAATTAAACAGTTCTTTGGCCTTTATTTTAGTTTTGAATTATTTATCTCTGCTTTATTGAATCTCAATACATTGTTTGAAGACTTTTATTACATTGCATCTCACTATTAAAACTTTCTAACAATTGACATCATTTTTTATGGCATGGGTACACTGGTATTCATGTAAAGTCCTTAGAAGACAAAAATTACAGAACTGCTCTGTTAAATCCGTCCTGTTGTATGGCAGCTAATGCTTGACAATCTCCCACATATGAAGAGAAACCTGGAAGCAGCAGAAATGTGATTCTTCAGAAAAATGCTGAGAATACCATGGGAGAAGTGAATAAGCAGCAAGGAAGTCTTAAAGTATATGGTAACAAGAACAACACGTATAATCGGAATCAGAATGTGACAGCTGAAGTTTCTTGTACACATAATGAAGAAGGAAAGCTTGGAGCTTGACACTCGCAGGATATATCAAGAGTGATTGGGAAAAGCGGCAGCCATCTACCTGATGAGCTTGTGAATGGAGGATGGAATATGGGGCTTGAAGAGAAATGCTGCTAAGGGTCACAGTGAATGGGAAGCTGTGGAGAGTTATGATTTCTCGCGTCCTGAAGGGACACAGCACATATTAGTACTAAAATCTACAAGTGAGGACGTCAAAACAACTACCCACTATCCACAAGTGGGTAAAAAGGAAACTATAAATAAACTTTCAGGATCAAGTGCCCCATGACTGGAAGTTGTGATTTCCCATCATGGGCCTATATTTAAGCAAATGGCATTATTTTTTTTATTTTGTCTTTTTAATTAATGCAAAAGTCATTTGTCAAGCTCATGGAAATAATTAACAATGTTTGATTTGGATATTTCATGTTTGTTGCAGCTTCCCTCTATATTGCACGATGTTGATAATTTCAATTTCTATTAAACCCCAAGAAACATCTTGTATGAAACAAAAAAAAAAAAGACACTCTCTGTTTTTTGATCATATCGAGAAGGTATAACATTTTTAAAATATTTTTAATTCTGGCTTGTGGAAATCCCCTCCAGCTCTATGCTTTCCAGCCAACTTTAATCTCCAAAAATTTAAATGCAATGTCAATCACTATCTACTGTTCTCCTAATTACTCTTTTCTCTTCCTGCTGATCAGTAATGTTTCTGTTTTACAGTTATCTTCTCCTCCTATACATATAAACTACCCCTTAATGTAACCCTCTACCTTGAGTGAAAAAAAAAAAATCTTCCACACCCAGTAACCTCCTGTGTCTTGCCTGGGGTGAAATCAGTTTAAAAAAAAAAAATCATTAAAAACAAGAAGCTGTAAATTTTTAATTCTTTTTTTTTTTCCTTTCAGGTAAAGTTACGGCGTCTGCTTCGCTACATGGAATTGAAAGATCTAAAGACTTCTGTTCTTCGAGGTTTAGATGATGAAGAGACTGCAGAAACTGGTAAGTTTATTTGTTGTTTTGTGGTGGAGGAAAGATATAGCCTGTATGACATGAGCTATCCATTGATTAAGACTTAAAGAATAAACACATTAAGAACAAATGTTATACAATAGAACAATGTTTATAAATTTGACAGGTTTCACTTTTATTTCAGATTCTTCAGAAAATACTTTGGAAATGGAATTTCCAACAAATTTCTGATGAAGCTAAAATGTTTTCCTATTTGTTCCTTATTCTATCACATTTGCGATACCAAATTCTGTTATATTTGAAGGTCTACAAAGCTGTCAGTATTTCTTTTGCAAACTATACAAAAAAGGTTTATATAGAAACATTTTTGGCTCAGACTAATTCATAAAGTCTTACCCAATATTTGATTATTTTTTTAAAAAAAATTTTTGAGTTCATCCCAAGCAAGGCAGTAAATCCACTAATACACAAGTGGTTACTGGGTGTGGAAGAATGAGGAGGACATTAGATAGCGATTAACATTGCATTTAAATTTTTGAAGATTAAAATTGACTTGAAAGCATTGAGTTCCACAAGCAAGAAGTGTGAGAAAAGAAGGCATAGAATATACAGTTACATCTAGCCAATTCAACTGTGAATTGATGCAATCTTGATGCCAGTCTAGTACTGTGCTTAAATTTAAAAATTCTAAATCCTATAGCAAAGAAAAATTGTCTCACATGACACGGTGAATTAACTATTTTATTTTATTTATTTTAATGAAAGTTCGCTTTGTTTGGTGAGACCTCTTTAGCCCCCACCCCAATGTGTGTGTTTGTGAACAGTCAACATGCAGTGCTAATTCCCCTCAGTTTCATGCCTTGATGCAATCTTTAGACTTTGAGGCATGAAACCGATAGTCACCATGCAGTGAAGATTCC